TGATAGTGCTGGGTGTAACCTCGGCAAGCTAACCACTACGCCGCATTGCCAAGTCACCTTTACTCACATTAGTTTGTGAAAATTGTACTACCAGTCCTTCATCATCTTAAACTAAAATAGAGTAAATACATCGCATATTACTGAATTACTGGTAGTCTCGAAACTCTACTTACATACGAAAAATACAGACTGATTGACTGACAGGGGATAGAGAGGCGGGACTCAAAAGCAGCTTGTGAAGTGTACAATTTCGAAATGTTACCACGACGAGGAGAGCTCAATGCGAGGAGGATGAGGGGTGCGAGCACCTTTGGGGAAGCAAGCCTATATGAAATTGAATCGAAACGTGACACCTATTCATATAATTGTGGGAAAAGTCAATCATCAATGCTTCATTATTTTCTTATAAAAGAGTCCTAAATGCCGAAAATGTGGTGCAATCATGCTCAAGCTTGCACAAACTGTCATTTAGACTCCCAGCAAAGGTACAGCGACAGAAAAAAGGGGAATGACTGAAATGTATCGAAAACCTCCATCCCTCCGTTGGCAGAAGCAACAAGACGCTACAGCTCATCGGGAAGGAGAAAATGAGCACCTTTGTAGCAACAATTGCGACGACTGACTCGGCTGCCATACAATCAGGAGCTAGGCCGTAAAAAGGATATCTCACAAGTACTTAGCAACAGGTAAATAAGACGAAGGCCGCACACTTTAATTGAATTCTACTTAGGTCTTGCCTACCAAAAGGCTCTTCCATACAAGCCGGACCTCATTTTAGGCCTAGCCAGAATCTCAGCATCACGACGGAAAGGACTCGAAACAGAATCATGTCCATCAAGCGACAATGAGCCCCCCTCCGCTACACAACACAGTCATGGTTTCCAAGAGGTCAAAATCACATTCAAACAGGTCCTTCCATTTGGGCTAATTCACCTATCCTTGACATCACACCCTCACCATCACAATTTCCTAATTGCATATCTAACTGTGGTATGGTCTGCCATTTTGGGCAGATTCCACGAGACCTCTTCACACCCCACTCCCCACCCCTTTGTTGGGAATTTGCCCTATTGTTACACAGTCCTCCTTCCCCATGTCTTATCAGAGTCTCCCTCTTGCCCCGTAGGAGCCGTCTGCTGTCCCCCTGGTTCAGAAATCCCACTTGACCTCTGTCACCTTATCTGCCCTATCTGAGGCGTCATTTCCCACACTCTGCCTAAAGCCTTTGATGGCATGCATATTCCCGCCCCGCTGAGTAGGTCCACATGGTCCAGATTCTCGAGCTGGATGGGATTGATCCCAACCAATTCTCATGGTCCACGTCTATGATCAAACACGTCTATTGTTAGCCAAATAGCTCAAGTCTTTACCGAGTCTATCCCGTTTCTATCCGTAATACCAAGTTTATCACTTCCTATGTGCAAGTCTCTTGTGTGCCAACCCACAAATGTTGTGATTCCACTTATTTGGATTAGGCTCATTGAAGACGTCTCCTCTTTGCTTCTGGTTGCGATCTATTTTCCCAAAATTAAAGATGTTGCCTTGATTCAGCCGTCTTCTTTTTGCTGATCTTACTGTCGCCTCATCTTGCCCGAGTGTGCTGAGGTAATACGCACAGGTTTCGCTGATCCTGCCTTCTTTAAGTCTCCTGTTCATCAGATTTATTTCGGTCAGTACCTCGATGACCTCTCGGATCTTGCCCCTCTTTCTTTTGATTTTCAGTCAATTTCGTGTCCCGTCCGTACAATGTGTTTCGCATTTCGGATCATTCCGTATCCATGTTCATGCAGAATCTTCGATGTTTCTTGATTCATTGGCCGATTTTTTCTCCTGTCTCATCAGCACACTTCTGCTCAAGGTTGCCTAATCAAAACAAACAGAACCACAATATTTGTTCGTTGTCACACAAAGGACCAGAGCATAGGAAGTCATAGATTTGGCATTATGGATAGAAACAGGACAGATGCAGTAGAGACTAGGGCTAGTTGGCATAGAAAAGTTCATGAAGCAAAGACTTAACGATAAGAGTTACTCGAGGTTCATAGCCTCAAGCTACTCTCCAAATCAGCTTTACAATCCAGACCTTGTCGGCCAACTCACTGAGGCGGTAGGCTTGAGAAAAGGTGTAGGAAATACCAGTTTGGTAGAGGTCGAGTGAAATACTTGAACCAGGAAGGTAGTTTCGGATGATTCTTATAGGACCTATTGGAAGAGGATTGTCGAATCATGTGGCAGATTCAGATCAATGTTCCAAGCACAATGGTAGGGGGGGTGGGGTGGAGTGAGACAACCAGCGTGGGGTGTGAAGAGGTCTCATGAAATCCGTTCAAAAGGGCACAACATACCACATTGAAATAAACGAGTAAGCAATTGTGATAGTGACGGCGTGATACGAAGATATAGGATTGGTGAATGGTCCAGGGCGGAAGGAGAGATACCACAATTGTTTGGCAGACAGTGGGTCAAAGGATCGGTTTCATTTGTCTATTTGACCGGTTGTGGTGTGATGCTAAGAATGGCTAGACTCACTACCGATGCCGGCGAAACGTCTGGGAATGTACCACGTCCACAGCCCAACTCTGGAGATTAGCATGCATACTGTGGGCTCCGGACAAGTCATCCTACCAATATGGCCAAGTTGCGAAAACGAGGTCAAATAACTGCTAATTATCTTATATTTTCAAAATTTATTAAACCTACCTTAGATACAAGGTCATTTAAACGGGTTCTAATATCCAAGTTTTTCAACTTCTCATCATGAGCCCTCCTAGCTTTCTTATACAGTGCTTCACCTAAACTGTCAGCCAGGTTTCTTAACTTAAGAAAGTCTTTCTCATTTAGAACCTAAGAGGTATTGGTTATAATCAGACCGTGTAAATTGGTAGTGTTTTCGGTAAGCCTCATCCAGTTCACTATTGCCTGAAGCAGGTGAAGCATTACGTTTACTCAGAAAATGACCTTTACGAACTACAATGTGAGCAGTAGACACTTTTGTAAATCTAATCCCATTGACTTGCCGAGATATAGTTTTCTTGATCTAAGCATCTCGAGAAGGCAGATGAAACAAATTTGAACCATACGTAAGTTGAATATACCAAGAAAAAGCAGGTTTCGAAGGATCTTCAGAGATAATGTTTTTGTGAAGATTTTCATTTATTATGGAAGTCCGTGATGAAGAAGTTCATAGGTCAATCTCGCAGAGGTTGCCGGCTGATACGCGATTTACTGCAGTCGTTTGGTCTTAATAGGACCTTCGGGTTGAGGCAGTCGACCAGACAACCTAAAACGTTTCAGGCGAAGACGGGCTGAGATTTCGTTGGTCATCCCACATGACGAACGTCATCAGAGCTGGGACTAATTCTTGCAAAAGCCTCAAGTTAATACTAAGTCAAGAAGATATGATATACTATATGATATATATACTCATAACTTATTGTTAGCTTGAGGCTTTTGCAAGAAGGAATCCCAGCTCTGACGAGGTTCGTCATGTAGCATGATGAACGAAGGCTCAGTCTTTCTTTGTCCGAAGCGCCGGAGGATGTCTCATTGTTTGCATCAACTTGAAAGGTCGTATTAAAGCCAAACGACTGCAGAACGA